GAGTTGTTCCACTGCACGAAAAGAGAGTGAGAGAACGTCATTTAAGGGCTAGAAGACACGCGAGAACACAGATGCCTTCAAATAGCAAAATTGCAAATCGTCGTGACAAGCAAGGGGCAGCAATCCAATTTTCACGCCTTACTTTCCACACACAACATACAAAGGAAGTGAATCGCACAAAACACCGACATCGAAAGTTCGAATGCCGGCGGAGTATAGCCTCTTCGCCCCCCTCCCCGACAACAATCTTATGTACCACAACCTACATAAGATTGTTGCCGGGGGGACGAAGAGGCTGTAGTCCGCCGATATCCGAACTTTCGATGTCAGTGCCCTGTGCGTTTCACTTGCAATAGAAATCATAGAGCACAACATGAATTGTTCCACTGCACGACAAGAGACTCAGGTGACGAAGTCCACACATGAAAAAATCATGCAACTAGAAGAAAACAATGTTGAAGTGCACGAAAATAGTACCACTGCCATACCGACAGTGAGCATCCCAAAGACACCGAGAAACAGACCCAATGAAGAAAACAATGTTGAACTCAGAAAGACAGTTGAATAATGTCTTATGTTACCAAATACAATTGCCATAGAATGAAATACATTTAAAGAATTTTGTACAAGTCATTGAAAACTGTCAAAGACAACGTCCTTCCAAGAGACATGTTGCCATTTGTCATCTAATAACAAGCAAATCTTTACTCGAGAATCTAAAAGGGGGTCGATCACCGCGTTGCAACAATGTTGCAAATGTCAACATGAACACCCCGCAACTAGCTCCATCAACTTGCCTTGGAACTCCTTCCACAACAAATTTTCTGACCATAGTCTTCCAACTCCTATCCGACCGGCTATGTGAGACATGACGTTCTGAATACTGTACAATCAACTCGAAAACACTACGGTAGAAACTGGAATCGGCTTTAACGCGAGGAAAAGAGTCAAAAATTTTGAAGACATTGTCTTTCAAATTAACGGAAAGTAGGATCCAGTGATCGTTATGTTTGTGCACCGGAACGAAAATCATATCGAACTGATGCAGATTAACGTTTTTAGCCCACCTCTCCACCCCAGTGTGTCCTCGAAGTTGCAGCATACTGAAGAAGAAAGAATTGAAGTTGAAGGAGTTCGACGAAAGTGACAATGTGAAAGATAATGTAGCCCACAAGCATGCGTGCATTCGGACATAAAACGACGAGCGTTGTCGAGCCCGAGACCCTAGCACATGAGGACGAAGACCACATCAGGCCAAAGAAGAGGAACGCCTTCCAATGCTGAAGTTCGAATTTCGGCGGACTTGCAGCTACGACTAGCAGACACAGACCAGCCGGGTTTGGTCCTGACACTGGAACTGCGGTGACCGGAGCAAACCGGAACTTCGAAGGGTATGTTTTCTAGTCTGCCGGCGCGAGGTGGAAAGTCGGCATTTGCCAATGTGCAGATTCCAGCGGACTTGCAGCCACAGTTCGCAAACACCGACCAACGGGGCGTGCTCCACCTCGCGCCGGTACTTGTAGTTTGGATGCCGGCGGACTTCAGAACAGACCTTCCGTATTACCGTTTTTCCGGCGGTTTCCGCAGTTCCAGTGTCAGGACCAAACCCGGTTCGGCGACCTGACCTGCTGGTTGTAGCTGCAAGTCCGCCGGAATTCGAACTTTAGCATTTGTAAACATTCCTCTTCTTTGGCGTGATGTGGTCTTTCGTTGTCATGTGCAGGGTTCTCGGGCTAGACTGCGCTCGTCGTTTTATGTGCGAATGCACACAAGCTTGTCGCTGCGAAAATCGTTCATCGGACGGTCTGTCTTGTAGTCCGCCGGTAYCCGCACTACAGGTGCCGGCCAGAGATAGAAAGTCGAGACGGGGACAAAKGACTTGTAGAGGGAGGAGTGGATGAGCGGTCGCAGAATAAAGCGTGACGGTGTGTTAAAGAACAAGAGGCCAATTTGTCCTCACTGATAAGTGAAGCGGAATTTTGTCCATCTAACGTGTGGCATAAACCGACAAGGGGGTTGACAGACAGCGTCGACAATCCCAAAACGCGGGAGTGTTGACATCGCGACGATCGTCAATGCTTACCAACTTGTTTTTCTTTCCGCTCCTTCATCGGCGACATGGACGCTGGTAAGGCGAGGACAGCCAGGGCCGGAGTGCCTACCCTGCACTTTTTCGGGGACGTGACGTGCTGGCGGCCCCCAACAACCCCCCCCCTTCCTCCTGTGACCGGTGACCAGGGTACCGGAAAGCACGGCTGGATGAGCGCCAAGTCCCCGGCCGCGGAAGTTTCGTTGTTGAGAAGGGCATCGTCTTTTGACGGGGTGGACGGAAGTGTTTTAGCTTGCACGTCGCCCARTATGCTATCGATGACCTCGTTGACGCTAAGACGRCGAGTCGTTTTCGCCGGGCTCACTGTCATGATAGCCTCGTCGCACCCGTCGGGGGGATGCACCGCCTTGGCCAGGTGGTGGGCGTCATATTCTTCGTGGTCCATGGAAAGGCCACTAACCACCTGCGTCTCCATCTCCATCGCCGTCGCGTCGTCGTCGATATCACCTTCACCTSGTCTGGCGTACACCAGACCAAACGAATCAGATGTCTCCCCACAGACATCCTCGTCTCCGCCATCCACCCTTCCTCGTCTGTAATACWGAGTCCTCCTTCTTCACCGTCTTCCCCGTCGCGCAATGTAATCAACTCCTTCTCTCACCCTTCGTCTCCTTCTCCCCCCTCCTCCCATTCTCCCCCTTCTTCCCCGCCCTCGACTTGCACCCATTCGTCCCCCCCGTCAGTCTCACGCGACTCGGCTCCTTGCAGCCGCATCAAGGCGGATCCCAAGGAGCGGTCGTCTGTATGAACAGACGTAGCACCTTCCTCCGTCCCTGCCCCCTCCGACTGCAGGCACGTCACAGACGAAGTACGAATACCGGCRGACTTCGTCGCAAGGAAGGCGGACAGCGCTGCACCAGCAATCTCTCTCTGTGACTCCGCAGATCGGCCTTGTCCAAGGGCCGGCGGCGTCGCCTCCCGCACAGCCAGGGCRGCGCCCATCTCCGACGCCTGTGCTCCTGKAGAGCTCCACTGGACCGGTACACTCGCCTGAACGTCGTCCGCCCTGGTAGGGATGCCCACGGACTTGCCCTTCACGGCGGAGACAAGATCCCCTGCACATGAGCCCCCCCCCACTTCACCGGAGGAGCCGAAAGCAGTCCACGAGGGAAGGGCCGCCTGCTCCAGAGTCGTCGAAGTGCGGATGCCGGCCGACTTCGCTGCCTCCACGGGCACTGGGTCCTCCGTCTGCGATGTTCGGATGCGGGCGAACTTCCCCGACTTGCCGCTCCCTGCTGTTGGGGAGTGTGTGACGTTCACCCCCCCTTCCCCCATGCCGCTGTGCGCGATCCTGCCCTGACCGCCAGGGGCAGGCGATGATGYCGGCGCGCTTCCCCCTGATGTCGTATGGCCACTGCCTCCGCCACCTCCTTCCTCGTGGCCACTGCCTCCCCCCCTTCCGGCCCCGGGGGGGCTCGGAGGTCCTCCTCCCACACTACCCTGGGTCCTTGTCGACAGGGGTACTTTCCAGTTCACCTTTTTCTTCGAAGGGCTCGTCTGGAGGTCATAGAAATCGTCAGATAGTTCCAACCACTGCTTGTCATGAAGTTCCCAAAACAAGCGATCAGCAGTGGCAATGATGGCCGGGTCAGCGGGCTGCAGGTTGCTGTTCTCTGACGTCACTTTGTCCACCACAGCACTCCTCACGATATCCAAGTAGTCGGACTTGGCCAGGCGCTCGGACAGCTT